AGACGCACGCCCCAAAGGGCAGGAGCCAGAAGTCTGCCGGGGAAAAGTCACTTTATCCCAGCGTCACCCAGTGGAGAAACTCCAACTGGACTGGGAATTATGAAGCGCATTGTCAAGTGGTTCTTGCTTTTTTTCTTGGGATAACATGCAGGTTTCCCCCCACTTGAAAGGGAAGCTTGTTTCCAGAGACTCCACAGGATTTTACTCAGGCGTAAAACTTGATTTCTTTCAGTTCCATTTTTTATTTAAAGGTTTGTTAAACCAGCAATATCACCAAGAATCATGACAGTTGTGCCAATAGGTGAAAAACCTTTAAACAAACACATAGACAAAGTATTAACATTGCAGTCATTTTTACAATCTTTCTATATCAAACAATGAGTGGCTCACCGGCTCCTTCCCTGTGGAACAAACTTCCTTCAGTCTTTTCCCTCAGCCACCCTTGCAGTGCTCATTTCTTTTTTGTGGGTGAACATCTCCCAGCTCACTATATCATTCTCTCCACCTGGACTCTCGGGGTTGGGAGACACCCCCACCTAAACTCAGTGAGAAGGGCGGGGCTTGAATAATTTAACTTAACAGTTATAGAAATCATCTTATTATGTAGAAATACAGTAGGGATGTCCCGATCCACTTCCGATCCGATCCGGATCCCGGCTTATCAGAGCATGTGTTAAAGTCTAAAGTTATTTATCTACTTACTTAGTTGTCAGACTCATGTTGAACAGGGATTTTGTACGGTGTGTGATCATTAAATATGTATGATAGATAATATATGAATAATATGAGCCAAAGCCACTGAGTCTCAGTTTGAAAAATTCATTCATTGTATTTTAATAAAAAATTAAAACGGGTTACTTAGACCAGAACACAACACAAGTGTTAAATTAACCCGTTTTGTGCTTTCCTCAGCTCCTGTCTGAATAACGGAACCTGCATTGACGACATCAACACCTTCTCCTGCCGTTGCCGGCCCGGTTTTTACGGGGACTTCTGCGAGTACGAGCTGAACGAGTGCGACTCGCAGCCCTGTAGGAACGGAGGAACGTGCACCGACGGGCTGGGCGCCTACCGCTGCGCCTGTCCCGTGGGATACAGCGGACTCAACTGCCAGGTAGCCAATCTTTCCACCTTAGCATGAACTCACACTGGAAAAAGTCATAGTTTTGGGCCGTCTTTCTACTTCAGGATGACCTCACATTGTAAAAAGTCATAGTTTTGGCCTGTAGTTATGCCTCCTGTTGGCCAGTAGTTATGCTTCAGGATGACCCCACTCTGTAAAAAGTATTAGTTTTAGCCTTTAGTTATGCTTCAGGGTGACCTTACACTGTAAAAAGTCATAGTTTTGGCCTGTAGTTATGCTTCAGGATGACCCCACTCTGTAAAAAGTCATAGTTTTGCCCCGTCTTTCTACTTCTGCATGACCTCACATTGTAAAAAGTATTAGTTTTAGCCTTTAGTTATGCTTCAGGATGACCTCACACTGTAAAAAGTCATAGTTTTGCCCCGTCTTTCTACTTCTGCATGACCTCACATTGTAAAAAGTATTAGTTTTAGCCTTTAGTTATGCTTCAGGATGACCTCACACTGTAATAAGTCATAGTTTTACCCCGTCTTTCTACTTCTGCATGACCTCACATTGTAAAAAGTATTAGTTTTAGCCTTTAGTTATGCTTCAGTATGACTTCACACACAGTAAAAAGTCATAGCTTTCGCCCGTCTTCATGCTTCAGGATGACCTCACACTGTAAAAAAGTTGTTATTTCGGGGGTAGAATCCAATGCATTCCCACCAAACTGTGTTTTTTTGCTGTTTTGTTTGTAGAACTACGTGGACTTGTGCAGCCA